AAAAAAAAAGCCGTATATTTATGGCGCCCTGCTCATAGGAGCTTGCTGTCCATCCGTTTTTTTACAACAGGTGGACGGCAATTGGTTAAGTAAGCACGATGGGTCTTTTATAAGAACTAATTGCAAATATATAATAAAATCAGTAACTTGTAAATTGCAAAAGTGAATGTGAAAAAAGAGACCCAAAGTGGCTTGTAACATTTGCTGTATTGTAACTACACATTTTTACTGAGACTTAGATTTACCACTGAAGAATTGGAAATCCAAATATAAAACAAATGGGAAATGCATAAATGGGAAATGCCCCAAAAGTCAATAGATGGCAATTGAGCAGGGTAGTGGTCATTCACTGCTTCAACAGACCCTTTCACCTTGCCCATTCAGGGTATAACTCTTATTTTAAACATCAGGTGGCCGGACCATTTTTACTATTTTTTACACAGATTACATATTTTAATTACAAATAGAAACGTTTTGAAAAACCTCTAACCTCATCGCCCTCCGAATCATATACTGTATTTTCTGAAAGCGCAGGTCTGGTAGAATTGCAAGACAGCTCTGTTCAATCTACACATTCCACTGTAGTTGTGTAAATATTTAATTATATGTAATAAAATATTTTTAAATAGTTGTGTGCACATACAGTAAATGCAACATCATTTTAAAAAATCCTACTAAAAATAAATCATATACTGTCAGTTACACTGACTTAAATTAAATAACACTTATGTATGAATGTTATATTGTGTGTTTTTCCAAAACAGTGACAATTGTAAGGCAGTAAATTTGCAACTTACACCAAAAGCATTCATTATTTTTTATATTTAGTATTAAGTTAAATGATGATCCCACAATTTTTTCATAGGGCACCATTCACATTATGCATTGCATTAACACACACACACACACACACATATTTGTATGTAGTGAAGCACTGTATTTAAAGTAGCCCATTCATTCTGAATGGGCTGGCAGCACACCTAACGTATGAAAAAAGGACATGCTCAATGTTTATCAGCGTAGTGTACCACAATGCACATATCGATGCAAGATGTGTGCATTATGGTAAATGCAAAGTAAAATGCATCTTTACTGCACATTATTGCAATGTGTGTGTATAAATGGGCCCTAAACTTTTAACATGTGTGGTGATGCCCAATGTGTGTATTTTAATCTGCATAATAACTGTGCATAAGGCCTTCTTCACGCCCGTACATTTCCTTGTAGTCTGTTAAAGTGCAATGTTCTGCAAATTAATATGTGTTGTATCAAGGCAAAGAACAAAAAACGGAACCATGTGTACAATGAAGTACGAGTCTGTCAACACCTACCGTAGTGTGCGTTAGGGTGCCAAATGCACATAACAGAGTGCCATATTTTGAGGTAGTGTGGAGGTAATGTGACATGTAATTAAGTGAAGTAATAAAGCCAAATAAATAACTTAATAAATAAAACTCTGGAAAAATCCCCCACACACAATGATCAGTAAGGTCTTTTTATTGCATGTTATTGCAACACATAAGTATGAAAAAGACCTTACTGATTATTATGTGTGTGGGGGATTTTTCCAGAGTTTTATTTATTAAGTTATTTATTTGGTTTTATTACTTCACTTAATTACTGTCACCAGGGGGCTAACAAGCTAGCAATGAAACTAGCGGCAATAGGAGAGAAGACTGATCTTATTGCAGACTAAAGAAGAGGATTAAGCATAGCAGCAGTAGCTACAGGAGGGAAGGGGGAACTTTTTACTTCTGTAGAAATGATGGGGTGGCTGGATAGTTGTTCTAATCACTTCTACTGCAAGTTCATGGCTCCCAATGAGCTTCTCTTAACCCTTGTGACTGTCATCTGAACCAGTCTATACCAAGATCACGGCTGCTGTGGAGTGATCACCGGCAATGATAGTCCACATACAAGCAATCTGGCACACTGGAGCGCATTGCATTGCAGTACTGTGCGTTCCAGTGCAGGTGATCACACTGCGGCTGGGAGGCACGTTTGGGATGCCACTGAAATTAATGGCACCACAACACACATTCCAGAGCAGAATTTTTAGGCCGAAACCAAAAATTACGGTTGCCACCTTATATAAATATTATAAATGCCCGGTCATACGTTTAGAGTTAGCCATGAAATTGGGCTTGAGAATGATTGCTCTCAATCCGGCGAACACGGCAATACCTGACATGTGTAGCGCAATTGTCATTATTCTATGTAGGTGCACCCGACCTATGCTTCTGTTAGTATACGGGTGTTCGCAGGGTTGGGGGACTCTAAAAATTTTTGGGGGTATTTTTAATTTCAATACGTTTTTATTGAGCATTTTCAGCGATACAAAGAAAAGGTATTCAATATTGAACAGCAATTCAGGTCTATTTAAGACCATAAGGACAAACCATAGGAAGAAAGAAAGATATATGTGGTGAGCCACTACAATCGGAGCTACCACCCCGTGTGGAAGTCCTGAGAAGGTCCAGGGACCTGACCATTTTGTGCAATGCGTAGATTCATAGCACAGAGTCATGTCATTGTGTCGTTGCAGATTGCGAGCACCCGTTCGTATTCATAGTGTAGCCTCAATACCTGTAGGGTCTCTGAGACATTAGCTGCTTGCAAACCATTCCAATGTCTTGAAACTGTTAATTTGGCCGCTAGGAGGATGTGAATCACCAGCGTTCTGAGGTGGGTAGGGAATTGGTCTATACCTAAGTGAAGGAGAGTCAGGTGGGGCTTGGGAGCAGAAAGGAAGCCAGTCACTGCAGATATTATTTGAAACATCCACCTCCAAAAGCTGGTAAGGCATTTGCAGGTCCAGTAGGTGTGTAGCAGTGTGCCCGTAAGTCCACAGCCTCTCCAGCACTCCGCAGAGGAAGCCGGAGACATGTTGGCTAGGCGGGAGGGTGTCAGATACCATCTGAGCAAGGTTTTCTGAGCCAATTCCCACATGTCTACACACCTATAAGCCCTCCAGGTATCTCTAAAAGAGAGCAGCCACTGATCCTCAGAGTACGTGGCTCCCATATCCCGCTCCCAAGTCTTGATGGGAGAGGTTTTCTCAAAATGTTGCTTGTTGTGGAGGAGTAGATAGAAAAGCGAGATGCCTTTATTTTGGGGAGCGGTGGATGTGAAGTAGGATAATGCTTTAAAGGGGAGTTTGATGTGAAGATTTGTCTTGTAGCGGAGAAGATGGGCTATTTGCATATAACAATAGTATTCTCCCTGAGGGAGTCGGACTTGGGGAGAGATCTCCTGGAATTTTTTAAGCAACCCCCCTTCCGTAATGTCGGATAGGGAGGTTATACCTCTATCTCTCCAGGTTTGTAAGGAAAGATTTGGGATCACAAGTTCCAACGAGGAAACCGGTACTGGAACAGTTTTCAGCGGGGGTGATGGTTTTGTATGGGAGCGGATTCCCAGGCACGGGACATTAGCTAACGAAGCAGGTCGTTACCGGGGACCATGTCGCTTTCTATGTTTACCCAATGTTCATCGGTGGGGGGAGTGAACCAGCTTTTGAGGTGAGTCAATAGTGTGGCTAGGTAGTAATCTGTAAAGTTAATATATCCCATTCCCCCCACTGCCCTGTGTTTAATAAGTAGCGAATGTGAGCTTCTAGCTCTCTTGCCCTGCCACACAAAGTCTTTGAGGCAGGGCTCTCAAGTACCATCGGGGGATTGCGATAGGCAATGTACGAAAAAGATATAAGAGTTGGGGCAGGAATATCATCTTAAAAGATGCCAGTCTCGCAGACCATGAGAGAGTTTTTTTTACCTAAAGCTACTAGCTCCTTCCTAAGCCTCTCCAAAAATGGGGGAAAATTATGTTGGAACAGCTCAGAGGTAGAACTGGGTATGGTGACGCCCAGATACACAATGCCCGGGTCAGGCCAGTGGTATTCCGTTTGGGTTTTTATGGGCTGTATGGTCTCCGCATCCATCCCTAGATTCAAGATTTGAGATTTGGCAACATTTACCTTATAATAGGACACAGAAGCATATGTGTGGATAACACAGGAAACTTCCCTCAGGGAAGACACCGGATTCGTTAACATTAATAGGACATCATCTGCGAACAAGTTGATCTTATGGGAGTAGTGCGATATGGATATTCCTGATATCTGTGGGTTCATTCTGATTGATTCAGCGAAGGGCTCTATGGATAAGTTGAATATCAGGGGTGAGAGGGGGCATCCCTGCCTAGTGCCATTGGTAATTTGTAACGGACTTGACAGAGTGCCAGACGTGAAGGGCACGAGTAAAGGGCTGTTATAGCCAAAAAGATATGGCCTCTGAATCCAAATTCGGTCAGAACCTGGTGTAGGTATGACCAGGGGACCTGGTCGAACGCCTTCTCTGCATGTAGCGCAAGAAGGGTCCCCAGAGGCCCTCGCCCGATGAATGATGTTAATTACTCATCCCGTGGCATCAGGAGCTTCACGTCCCTTAGTGAACCCCGTCTGGTCATGCTTGACCAGCATTGGAACTACATCTGTTAGAAGTTGTGCAAGGAGTTTGGCATACATTTTAAGGTCGCAGTTTAACAGGGATATGGGGCTAAAATGTTGGGGGGAATCCGGTGTCTTACCTGGTTTAGGTATAGTTACAATGAGGGCTTTCAACATTTCTGGAGGAAAAGACCCGGAGGCAGCAGCAGTGTCGAACGCCTTCAATAAAAATGGGTTCAGGGTTGTTTGGAAGATTTGGTAATATTCGTTGGAAAACCCATCTGGGCCTGGGGATTTACCTTTGGCATGGTTTTAATAGTATTCGCTAGTTCGGTTGGGGTGAATGGAGCATTGACCCAAGCAAGCTGAGATTCCGTGAGTTTAGGCAGGCGCAGGGACTCTAAAATATGTTAAGATATCCGAGGTCGTGGGTTGTGAGATCGAGGTGTCGTCCTTGAGGTTGTACAATTTGCTATAGTACAAGCTAAAGGAGTCAGCTATGTCTTGAGGATGCCAGACTTTGTGGTTGGAGACTGGGTGGAATAGGTACAGTATCTTGATGAAGTGCAGGCCTGTTTGAGGGGGGAGGTGTCATGCGTGACGCTGACCAGACGTGAGTAAGGGGAACGCCGATAAGAAAGCTGACGGAGCGGCATGAGAGAGCTGTAGCGTTACTAATCTAAACAGACCCCCTAGAGAGATGAGAAAGAAAAGCCAAACGAAAAATGGAGCTAAAAGTGAGGGAACTGGATCCCTGAAAAGATATCTTACAGCGGAGAGGATACGGCCTAAACAGAATCTAGATGAAAGGTTCCAGCGGCTGGATACTTCAGATATGCTGCCTTCACACTCAAGCTCGCCGACACAAGGTTCAGCTGGAATGCCATGTGAATTAGACCCAGCTGTATTGGTCTCGAGGGAGACAAGTGTGGAAACAGGAGGGGACTCGCAAGATCTGCCTACTAAAGCAGACATGGCCCAAATTTTGCAAGCAATGGAAAGATCAATAAAGCAAGATCTTAAAGGTATGAGAACAGATCTAACATATTTATGGAGGCGAGTTGAAGAGATGGAGGGAAATATGGAACAGCATAATAAGGCTATTCAGGATATGCAAGAGACACATAAAACAAACTTGCAATACATGAGAGCAACCTCATATAAATTGGAAGATTTGGAAAATAAAGATTGGAGGAACAATTTGAGAATAAGGGGTTTGTCTGGAAGTGTCTTAGATGGAAAACTGAAGGACGCTATGCAGGGTATTTTCTGTTCAATTTTAAATAAACCAGAAGTGACCCCACTTCGCCTAGATCGAGTGCATCGGACAGTACGCTCCAGAGGTATGGCATTGGCATATGTCGTATTTGTAATATGTAACATATCGCATATGTAATATGTCACTTTCATTATTATGAAGATAAGAAAGACGTTGTACATAATATCCGAGAACTCCCACATATTAATTTTGAAGGTGTACAGTTGCTGATATTCCAGGATCTAGCAAGAGAAACATTGATGAGACGCCGGGCTCTAAAACCGTTGTTAAATATTCTTAAAGCGACAGATATATCGTATAAATGCGGTTTCCCTACATGTTTGATTGCTAGGAAAGATGGACAATCGTATTATCTCCGCTATTATGAAGAGATGGAGAGGTTTTGTAATGGACTGGGAATTAAGGCCCCAGCACTACCTGGACTGGAAAGTGACATTTTAACCTATACCCAGTTATCAGATAAGAAATGGCAATCACTTTCAAAAAAAAAAAAAGATAATTGGAGAATTTATTGCTAAATATTATATAAATGATCAATGTAATGATTATTATTTATCTGTTTGTCTGGAAATAAGAAGATAGCAAAGTAGGAGAGTATAGAAAGTAATTTGAGAGTAACGCTAATTTGGTTTTTTTGGTTCCTCTACCTATTACCCACCCTCCTCCCTATTCTTTTTTTTTTTTTTTTTAAGCCGCCCGAGAATAACAACAGGCTTCAAGGCAAATTATCCCTTAGCAGTGATCTGTTTAGTTTCATTGAACATTGGACCCCCTAATATTGGATAGGGTCCCCCAATGGATTTTAATCTTAATTGGGGAACTAATTGCAAGGCAATGGTGCTGTGTGGAGGGATGTGAGATAATGTATTGTCTGTGTAGGTCATTTGTTTTCTTTGTTTTTTTTTATGTTTGTGTTTAACCAAGAGCCATGCCCTGAGACAAAAATAGAAATATATTGTATGGTAAAATAGATAACAAATGTGATAAATGCTGTTAAATGGGATATCTTATAATGTGAAGGGATTGAATTCTAGTGGTAAAATACATCAATTATATAGTGAATTGAAGAGACATGCAGGACACATAGTGTTCTTACAGGAAACCCATTTGACCCATGATACTACTACTAGATTATATACAGGTTGGCATAGTCAATGGTACTATAGCCTATCCGATACGAATAAAGCGAAAGGAGTGGCTATAGGAATCCATAAGAACATACCTTTTCAATTAGAAGATATGGTGGTGGATACACAGGGGAGATATCTATTCTTGAAGGGTTGCATAGGCAGGGTGAAATGTACGTTGATAAACATATACTTCCCTAACCAAGGTCAGGCCCAGTTCCTATCCCAACTTTTTTCACGCATTTTGGATTTCATATCTGGAATAATTATAATGGCGGGAGATATAAATGTGGCCTTAGAACCTAATTTAGACACTTCAACAGGAAGATCAAATATATCATTTAAACAGCTATCAAAGATAAAAAGCATCTTACATAAAATGCAACTTATTTTAACTTATTTAAAAAAAAAAAATGCAACTTATTGATACCTGGAGACTAATACACCCAAAAGAAAAAGATTATTCCTATTCTTCTACGGTGCATAATGTTTACTCAAGATTAGATGTAATTTTTTTGAATCACCATTATTTAGACTGTTTAAAAACAGCCTCTATAGGTGAAACCACTATGTAGGGCCATTCTCCATTGAAAACTGTTATAGACTTAGCCCTATCCCCAACTAAAATGAGCTCCTGGAAATTAAATGAGTCTCTGATACAGTGTACAGCAGATGTGGAAAACTTAACACAGGAAATAAAGTTCTTTTTTAATTTAAATGATTCCAAAGAGATATCATTAGCAACTCTCTGGGAAGCACATAAAGCGGTTATAAGGGGAAGATTAATAGAAATGGGAACAAGGCGTAAAAAAGAGAGTGAAAAAATAGAAAATGCATTAGATCAGATTAAAAAATTAGAAAAAGTACATAAACAATCATTGTTGGATGGACAATTGCAACAATTATCAACGAAAAGAGAAGAACTGAAACAATTACTAAACATCAAAACTGCCCAGAAGTTTCAATGGATATCCCAGAAAAAGTATGAATGGGGGAACAAACCAAGTAAAAACTTAGCTAGGACATTATATCAGAAACATAATACCACATTTATTACTAAGATAAAATCTCTAAAGAACCAGCAGGTTTATACTGCCAAAGACATAGCTAAAGCTTTCAGAGAATATTATATGTACTTATACAACGTGAGTACACAAGGATCCCTTAAAGACAGGAAAACATCAATATTATCATATCTACAAAGAGCAGGTGCACCTTCTATCCCGGTAAACTCCTTAATTGCTTTGGAAAAAGAGATGGATGTGAGTGAGCATGAGCAGGCCCTCGCTAATATGAGCAGGGGGAAGGCACCGGGACCAGATGGTTTTACAGTAGCTTATTATAAGGCCTTTAAAAAAGACCTTTTACCATACTTATCTAAATATGTTAATTTTCTAATACAGGAAGAACGGCTACGATCAGAGATATCCTTAGCTCACATAGTGGTGATACCAAAACTGGGAAAAGATCCAATGTGCTGTGGGAGCTATAGGCCTATATCACTATTAAATACTGATATTAACCCCTTCGTGACTGACGACGTACAGTGTACGTCGCCAGCATCGGGGCTGTTTAAACAGACTAACAAAGGTACCAGCTACCCGACTTCTACCGATAATTCCACAATATATCTCACTAGATCAAACTGGATTTGTCTCAGGTAGAGAGGCCAGAGATAAATCCTTGAGAACACTGGCAATTATGGAGTTTGTACAGAGGAACTCCCAGCCCACGATATTTTTATCTATAGATGCAGAAGAAACATTTGATAGAGTGGCATGGGATTTCCCTCTGGAAACTCTTAGATTTAATGGGTTAGGGGACAAAATGATGGGATGGATCTCTGCAATACATAGTAACCCCACAGCACAGATACGGGTAAATGGAAATCTAAGTGAACCCTTTAAGATAGGAAACGGAACCCGACAAGGATGTCCCTTATCCCCTATATTATTTGTAATAACATTGGAACCATTCCTTTCTTATATTAGACATAAACAAGATATACATGGAGTTATAGTGGGACGGGAAGAGCATAAATACGCTGCTTTTGCTGATGATATCTTGTTCTATATTCAGCAGCCTCATAGTTCTATACCAAATATATTGTCAGCTTTGCAGGAATATGGGGATCTATCAAATTTTAAAATAAACACTATTAAATCAGAAATCCTTTATGTAAATATGAAGCCCAGAGAGGTAAGAGCATTGAGACCAAATTTCGAGTTCCAATGGAAAGATCAGCTTAAATACTTAGGAATATATTTTACAACTAATTTAACAGATTTATTTGACAGTAATTATATGACCCTATTGAACACAATAGGAACAGATTAGACACAGTGGTCGATTCTATCCCACTCATGGATAGGGAAAATTAATGTGATTCAAATGAATATACTACCAAGGTTTATTTTTCTATTTCAAATGTTACCAATAATGATCCCACCACAATTTTTTAGAGTGGCACATTCGATTATTGCTCAATATATATATATGGGGGAAAAAGAGAGCTAGGATCTCCCATACAACCCTGACCAAAACTAAACAGCGGGAAGTTACGCACATGCGTTTATCTAGTTGGTATTCTTTGCACATTGCATCACATTGATTCACAGTTAATATTTAGTGCATTTGATTTTTCATTATGGATATTTTGTAGCAATTACATTTACACTAAGGTGCATGTTATATACATGCGTTTCTTTTTTGTTTTGCACTTTTTACACATTGTATCACATTACTCCAAGGTCAGTATCTACTATATCTGACACTTTGCGGTCTCATTCACACAGCGCGGCTTTTACCATTAATTTCATACGTTATATCTGACCACACAGATTTCAGCTGCTGCTTAACTTGATTAGAGTGGTGGCGCAAGGTTTCACATTATTCATTTATTTATTTTAGTTTTTGTTGTCTTGTATGAGATTTATAGAGGCACGCTGTGTAGATCCAGAGTATAGGAAAATATTAGAAAAGATGCTTGATTTAAGATGGGAAGGGGTGCGTATGGGGGGAGTCGGGGAGGGAGAGAGGGAGGGGGAAGAGATAGTACACATGAAATCACACAGGGAGCACAGATAGAGATTAAAAGGGGGAAGTTGTTAAGACACACATTTATTTTTTGGAAGATAAAAAGATACGGGGAAGGGAATTTGAAGGGAATGATATTACACAGATATAATTTAGAATTGATACAATAATGTAATTTAGAGGAGGGAGTGATTGATGACAAAAGGCAACGAGTGTAGAAGAGAGGGGGTGGAAATAATTAAATTGTTAAGACACACATTTACATTTTTGAAGAAAAAAAAGGTATGGGTAAGGGAAAATGATGTGAGTAGTGTCACACAGACATAAAGTAGAAGTGTAACATAAATAAACTAAATGAGGAAGTGATTAATGATAAAGGGGAATGGGAGGAAGAGGGGAGATAGAGATAACTGGAACACGTAAGAAATAAGGAGATAGACACAATACACATAGTGGTAAATATAGGGAATAATGAGGAGGAGGAAGTGCAGTTAGGGGGGTGTATGTATGTATTAAAAATATTTAATATATAT